CTGTAATGTTTCACTTCAAACGGGCTTCTTTCCAACCAAAATGAAAACTGCTAAGGTAATTCCGATTTTCAAAGAAGGTGAAAAAAACCTTTACAATAACTACAGACCAGTCTCCCTGCTTTCCCAATTTTCCAAAATTTTGGAAAAAATATTTGCTACAAGGATGGACAGTTTCATAGATAAACATGGATTACTCATAGATAGTCAATATGGTTTTAGACCAAACCGATCAACATCATTGGCACTTATGGACTTAGTAGAAGAACTGACAAGCACAATAGATAACAAAAAGATGGCAATAGGGGTCTTCATAGATCTGAAGAAGGCATTTGACACAATAAACCATGATATACTGCTACACAAACTGGAAAGCTATGGGATCAGAGGGGTTGGACTAAATTGGGTACAAAGTTACATAGGACAAAGAAAACAGTTTGTACAGATAGGGGATAAGAAGTCCACCTTAAGAAATATAACCTGTGGTGTGCCGCAAGGATCAATACTGGGTCCAAAACTATTTATTATTTATATAAATGACATAAGTAATGCTTCCAGGATCCTGAAAAATGTTATTTTTGCAGATGACACAAATGTATTCTGTGAAGGAGGGAACCTCGAACAGTTGTTGGAGGCGGTCTCGACTGAGTTAACCAAGCTGAAATTGTGGTTTGATATAAATAGATTATCACTTAATGTAAAGAAAACCAAATTTCTGGTCTTTGGTAAAAGTAACACACAAGCAAACACACACATTGAACTAAAGATCGATAATATAAAAATTGAAAGGGTGTTTGAATACTCCTTTCTAGGTGTAATGATAGACCACAAGCTCAGCTGGAGGCCACAGGTCACTCGTGTACACTCAAAATTGGCACGATGTGTAGGGATACTAGTCAGAGTCAGACATATATTGAATATACAATCACTGCATACACTGTACTGTACACTGTTTGCCCCCTGTTTGAGTTACTGTGTGGAAGTGTGGGGTAATACCTACAAAAGCACCCTACAGGCAATATGCACAATTTTAAAAAAAGCAATACGGATAGTTAATAAGGTGGGGTACTATGAACACACAAACACATTATTTCTGAAATTAAATATATTCAAATTTATGGACTTAAAAGATTTTAAAACGTTACAGATTGTATTTAAAGCAAGAAACAGCCTACTCTCGGGAAACATTCAAAGTTGGTTTAGCGACAGACTAGGAGACTATAATTTAAGAGGGAGACTGAAACTGAGGCAACCAAAGGTGCACTCTACACTCAAAAGCAGGTGCATATTGGTCTGTGGGGTGAAGTTGTGGAACAACTTACCAGATAAGATCAAAGATTGTAAACATATTGCACAGTTCAAAAAACATCTTAAATTATACACATTAGCCAAATATGAGATCTGTGAAAATATTCAGTGACGGAAATTTAAATTGTATTTATTTGTGCGTGTGAGTATGCGTGCGCGTGTGTGGGTGAGAGAGTGTGTGTGAGAGAGTGTGTGTATGTATGTATGATATTAATCTTCAAAGTAATATATACTAATTGAGAATATGGATAAGATAGGGGTGGGTATCTATAAGCTTTTGCTTCCCTCTACTCCTTTTCTTGAACAAAAGGTGACTTTTCTAATTTTTGTGGTCTATGTCTATGTTGATTTTTAAATTTTTAAATTTTTTAATGTCTACATGTTCATGAAATAAAATGCTTCAAATCAAAAAGATGCGCCTATGTTTATCACAAACTTCCAAGATGCCGTCTTCAGCAGCAGTCATTGCAGTTGCGTGGGTTTCAGCAATTCTTTTGCATTTGTCTTGTGAAGTTCGCAGAAAGCAACAGCGACGGCGATATCTTCGACGGCTGAGTTTGCTGATGGATCTGTTTATGGTATATATGATGGCTGAAAAGACGTTTATTTGCAATTTTAATGTAACGTTAGCTAAGCTAACCACAACTCGGCAACTATAGAAGCTGTATTTACGTTACATGTAAAACGTCCATGGACTTGTAGACTATTCTGTGGTGTTGTATTACACGTTAGAGGTAACGTTAATACAGACCTATGTTTGTATCCTTTTGTTTATTTACTGTGTGAAACGTTTACATGGGTTACTTTCGTCCGAGTAAGATGGTGGTTTAATTTAATTTTAATTGATTAACGTTACACAAAAATACAGAAATGTTTTAAACTCTAGTTCTAGAAAAAGAAGATCAATGTGTATAGATGTGTTTTGCTTTTTAATGTTTTTGTTTAATTTACGAAGGCACTGCCAACTTTAGCATTCATACGTTGTTATATTAATACCATCATAAACAGGCAATTAGCTTACTTTGCAGTAAAAAGAAAAGCCTGACAATATCACTGCTAAATACCTTCAAGTATTTTTTTGTGGTATTCTCTAATATGTTTCTAACTGACACGCCCCCCAACTTGTAAAGATTGGGGCTTAAAAGAAATCCCTTTGTTTGGGGGAAGAGGAGACTTCCCCCAATGTAGTAAAGGTGTTTCCAATTCAGAATAATAATGTGAATTCTTCTTTCAGGCTGGTCGTCCAGTAACGTACTGTAGGTTAAACCATAACGTGTCCATCTTGTGGTTGTGGTTTGATGTGGAGCTGGACCTGAAACAGGATTTCCGCCTGAACAGAAGAGCAATGAATGCTTTGCAGAGGCTCTTGCAAAGGGAACAGGACCATGGCTGGGGTCATCAGCTAGAAACTTTAATCTATGTTTACTGGCTGGCTCATGGACTATCACATCGGGTAGTGTCCAGTGTCTTCAATGTGTCAAAAAGAACAGTACATCGCGTAATCCACAGAGTCGCTCAAAACATATGGGTAAACCTGAAGAAAGCCATCTCCTTCCCACAAGCAGAGGAGCTGCAGGCAGTGGGGCAAGGATTTGTCCAACTATCAATAACTCCTGCATTTAACAATGTCATTGGTGCAATAGATGGCACCCACATCCGGATCAAACCCCCGCGGCGGCACCAAATAGAATATTTAAACTATAAGGGCTTTTATTCCATCAACATGCAAGCAATATTCGATTCCAGTGGACGATTCCTAGATGTATTCATTGGCTACCCAGGGTCAGTTCACGACACACGAATTCTGAAAAACAGTTCATTTTAGTGGTATAGGCTAGTGGTATTCTGCGCATGTCTGAGGAAGTAAAAAGATGGACAATGCCCTCATGCAGAGCCTCGTGTGTTGTATCACGACATTACTTATTAAACAGTTAAATGCGTGCCTCGTCTAGTTATTTAGTACACCACATAATTGGCGTCGAGGTAAATCGGTTAAGTAGTGATGGCGTGTTTTTCCCAAAGACCGGACAAGTTCAAGCCGGAGGTTCAAACGTGGTCTGCCTATGTTGAGCGCATGGAGTTGCTGTTCGAAGCTCATGATGTCGACGATGGAAAAAATTTACATATTGTTGAGCTCGATCGGCGCATTGACGTATGGCCTTCTGCGCAATCTGGTCCAGCCTGACAAGCCTAGGGACAAGACCTTTGATCAGGTTGTGACCATTCTGAAGGATTAATATGAACCGTGACCATTGGTCATCGCCGAGCGTTTCAGGTACCGTAAATGTGTTCAGAAAAGCGGTCAGACAGTGGCGGAATATGCTGCACCAGCTCGCTGCGAAGTGTGATTTCGGGGACAGGCTGGATGAAGCTCTACGGGATGGATTTGTCGGCAGAGTCAGTTCGGAGGCATGCCAGCGCAAATTGCTCTCGGAGGATAGACTGACTTTTGCGAGAGCTGTGGAGCTTGCTGTTAACATAGAAACAGCCCACCGAGATGCACAGCAGTTGCGGAAGGGTGATGACGTCACCGCTCTTCACAAGGTAAAGGAGAGGCGACGCTCGCTTTCAGAGCAGGAAGGGTGCTATAGATGAAAAGGAAAGGGTCATAGCGCCAGTGATTGTTACTACAAAGATGTGAAGTGGCAAAGTCGGGCATATTCAGAAGGCATGCAGGACTGGGGGGCAGACACGTGAGAGGCAGGAGAAAAAAGGAAAGAGGAACAGTGTGCAAAAAAAGAAAAAAATGACAGGCTACGTACAAGCTGACGAAATTGAAGATGACATTCTGATGTTTTCTGTGTTCCGTGCAAGTGGTGCTGGCCAATGGCCATACAGGGCAATTTTTGATGTAAACGGAAAGAAGTGCCGATGGAAATTGACATAGGAGCGGGAGTCAGCATTATCTCAGAAAATGTGTATGAGCAGTCATTCTCGCATGTGCCACTGGAGGGCAGCAGCGTCGCACTGAAGGGTTATTCAGGAGAGACCATACCAGTAAAAGGGCAGTTCATGGCAAAAGTGACTTATGGAAATCAGACTGCCGATCTACCGCTCATAGTAGTGGCTGGAGAAGGGCCTTCACTGTGTGGGCGTGAATGGCTGGAACAGATTAAACTGAACTGGAAAATTATTTAAAAAGTCACCGGAAACGTTGCGGCCCCGACACCTAAACCCAAGCCAATCCAAGATGTGTTGAATAAATATGCTGATGTTTTCAAAGACGAGTTGGGAACGTTAAAGGACGTTAAAGCAGCCATTTCTGTGAAGCCTGACGTAGTTCCAAAGTTTCATAATGCCCCCGTCCTACCCTTCACGATGAAAGAAAGGGAAAAAGAACTGGAACGCCCGGAAAAAGATGGTGTTATCAGCCCTGTGAAGCATAGCGAGTGGGCTGCTCCAGTGGTTCCTGTAGCCAAGCGGGACGGTGGACTCAGGTTGTGCGACGACTATAAAGTAACTGTGAAAATGGCCACAAATACTGAAACATACCCACTACCACGCATTGAAGAAGTGCTGGCAGCGTTATGTGGGGGAAAAATATTCTCCAAAATTGATCTGGCAGCCGCCTACCCACAGGTCCTTTTGGATGACGAGTCCAAAAAGTACACAACTGTGAACCTGCATAAGGGACTGTTTGTGTACAATCGGCTTTGCTTGGCATTAATTCTGCTGTCAGTAGCTTCCAAAGGATCATGGAAAAGGTGATGAAAGATCTCAACGTTGTGGTCTATTTCGATGACCTGCTAGTGATGGGCAGGGATGAAACGGAGAATCTGATGAACCTGGACAGGGTTCTACAGCGACTACAAGAAAATTGCCTAAGAGTAAAAAAGGCAAAGTGTGACTTCGGAAAAACACAAATCGAGTACCTAGGTCACATGTTGGATGAAAAAGGAGTCTATCCTTCTAGGGACAAGGTCAGAGCCGTGCATGATGCTCCAGCACCCACAAACATCAAAGAGCTCAGAGCATTCCTGTGGTTAGTGAACTATTACGTTTCTTGCCGCAGCAAATTACTGTTTTGGCCCCACTTTACAGACTGCTGAAGGACCAAGCAAAATGGGGGTGGGGAGAAGTGGAGCAGAGCGCATTTGATAGGTGCAAGGAAATGTTGACCAGTGGTAAGGTGTTAGTTCACTATGATCCGAACCTGCCGCTTTCTCTCGCATGTGACGCTTCAGCGTACGGAATTGGAGCCGTGATTCAGCACACAACACCTGATGTACAAGAGCATCCAATAGCCTATGCGTCTCGTACACTCTCACCGGCGGAGAAGAACTATTCGCAGATTGAAAAGGAGGCGTTGAGCCTGGTGTATGGAGTGAAGAAATTCCATCAATATCTGTGTGGGCGGAAGTTCAACTTAATCACCGACCATAAACCTCTGCTCACGCTGTTTGGAGAACATAAAGGACTTCCAACAATGGCAGCAGCGTGCATACAGAGGTGGGCTATTATACTATCTGCCTATGACTATCACATAACCTATCGCCAGTCAGAAGAACACGGCAACGCAGATGGTCTGTCTTGTGTCCCACTGCCGGAAACTACAGACGCGGGAATAGAGAAAATGACAGCATGCTTACATGCACTACTCTGTGAACATCTGGAAGATGCACCACTGAGTGCTAAACTGATTTCCAAGGCAACACGCAAAGATGCAGAGCTATCTAAGCTGCACAGGTACATCATGGAAGGGTGGCCAAAAGAAGTAGCAGAGGAACTGAAAGTGTACTACAAAAAAAGACGAGCTTTCTGTTGAGCAAGGTTGTGTTCTCTGGGGAACAAGAGTAGTGGTGCCTACAAAGCTGAGAACAGCAGTGCTTAAGGAGATCCACAGCAGACATCCTGGCATTGTTAAGATGAAGACCATTGCAAGGCAGTATGTCTGGTGGCCGCATGTGGACATGGATGTTGAAAAGCTCTGTAAGCAGTGTGACAGGTGCCAGTTGGAGCAGCGTATGCCACACCAAGTTCCTCTACACCCCTGGGAGTTCCCGGGAGAGGTTTGGAAAAGGCTCCACATTGATTTTGCAGGTCCGTTCATGGGTCACATGTTTATGCTGGTTGTAGATGCCTATTCTAAGTGGTTGGAGGTGTTCAAGATGGCACAAATGTGCGTCATATGGATTGCCGGAGCAGGTTGTAACAGACAACGCCACAACCTTCACGTCAGAGGAGTTTCAGCTGTTCATGAGGAGGAACGGTATCCTTCACACAACCGGTGCACCGCGGCATCCAGCTACAAATCGCCTCGCTGAGAGGTACGTTGCCACATTCAAAGCAGGCATGAAAAAGCTGAATGGAGAAGATTTGAGTGTTCTCGGTAATAAATGTCCCGCTTGTCTTTGGAGGAGCGACCCATTGTGACCTCTGACCCCTGTTATAAAAACACTCCACAAACAGACACATGCACGCTACGATAAAGATTTTATAAGACTGTTTACCATTTACTTGTTTTTCCAATTAATGTAAATTACTATTATTTATTTTATAATTTACCAATGCAAATATCAGTTCCAACGTAACCAAATACTTACCGTACACTTTTAATGGACACAGATGATGGTTGTCGGGGGAGAATTTGTGCATAGTGTGGGTCTCTCAGGAATGTGACCTTTTAGGTGAGCCTGTGACCTAGAGCAGGGTGAGTTAAGGGTTTCCCTGACTGATCTTTCAAAATGTTGTTTATTGACAGGGTCCCATTAGGGGAGGGTCGCGGTGTCTCGCCTGCGTTGTCTAGTACTTCTCCATACATTCCTCTTGACCCACCCTGAAGTATATAAATCTCCTGTTCTCCCATAGAAACTTCAGATCTTCCTTTTAGGGAAGGAACAATCTGCCCCTTTTCAGCTGAATTGTAGTCATTCGACAACTGTCTGTACTAACGACTTGTGTTGATGATTTCTGTATTCTTCATAATTTTTCTATATTCTAGTTAGTAATAAATACTTAATCAGAAAACAAGTTCAAGATGAGGTCAACGTGGAGCATGGGTAGAGAGGGTGCGCCGAGAACCACAAGGTTGGTGGTTTGAGCCCCAGCTGCTCCATGGGCAAAATGTGAAAATGCCATGGGTTAAAAATACAATGCAAGTCGCTTTGAATAAAAGCGTCAGCTACATGACCTGTAATATAATGTAAACATACTTTTGATTTCTCACAGGGGCTAAATTCACAAATTTACACCACAATGGTCACTATCAGTCCATGTGTTTTAGCCACATGAATTTCTGCTGCAAATTACTGTTATTTAACTAAAAGAGTCAGAATTTAGTGGTGCATCTTAATGGATCCAAAATATATTTGATCATCGTTTAGGAAACATTGGTATCGCGCATAACCTGATTTTAACCACTTCTAAAACAGAGATTGGTGTATTGTTCTGAAAAACGGCGTATTTGGCGGCTGTCAGAGAGCGTTGCGTAACATTATATTATTGTATCGGCCAAACAGCAAACATTACATTAAATAACAGCATCAGATCTACTTTCGGCGCAAAATGGCAACGTACCGTTTTTAAAACTGCGGCGCTTACCGAACTAGTTCCGGTATTGATGGTAGAAGGAGCCCCGCTGATAGCTGTTCCCCCTTGTTCAGAATTACGCTGCCCTTCACAAATATTAACGTTAAAATACAAAACATACGTATATCTTTTTTTGTTCAAATGTGTACTTCCATGACACTTTGTGAATGTTTTTGTTTTTTGTTATGAAAGAATTCCTTTAAAGAATATATATTTTTTATTTTTATTATTTTAAACAATAATAATGTGGATGAAAAAAAAAGTACTTAAACTAAAATACCTAAATGTTTATTGTGTTCATTTTGCTATGCTATTGTGATTAATATTGCATGGGTTCACATGGATTTGTTTTTCCCGTCATTGAGTTAAATGTTGTTACATGAACCAATGTAGACAAAGTCTGTAACTGAAACATTCAATTCTGCAATTATATCACATTAAATGTTGTTTTCAGCTTTTTCGCTCAGTTGTTGAGCGATTTGGAGTTTTGTTTCCATAATGGAAGACTGAGCTTTCTTGATAGCGATTTAATTAATCAACAGAGATTTAATTAGTCAACAGAATTTAAGAAGAGGTCACAAAATTTAGCGTTTGTTGACAAAATATAAAATTCATGTATTTTGAGCCTCAGTTCAAAGGAGAGTACTTAAATACGATAAGTTTTATTTCCGTGAAAAAATATAATTGTATACCTCTAACAAAGTCACAATTTGAGGAATCGTGAACCCGATTTTATTCCAGTTTTGTGAATGAAACTGTTAACTTAAATAAATAACCAAATAATGAGGATAGTCTCTTTACAAAAAATAAAACACAATGTACAAAAGAAAAAAAATTATATACACAAATGTGCCTTCAGCGATTAGCTTCACTTAGCGTAAAGACGAGGAGGGAAAAAGCCTCCCGAATGAAACAATAAAAAATACTGCGCCGTATCTTTCATTTAAACTAATAGATAAAACTATTAATTGAAGGCAAGTGAAAGCTAGCCAAAAAGGCTAGCTAACAAAATAAAGATATGTTAGCGCCATGCTAGCCCCCTCGCCGTAGCCCCTGCCTGTCATTTCAATGGAGCTTTTTTGCTCGTCCGTTAACGCCCGCTCCCACCCCCCCACTTTAACGTCCGCCCCCCACACCACCAAATTGTCTTCCCCCCGCAATGTCTGCCCCACGCCAGTTAGGGTCAGGGTTAGTGTTTTTTTCCACTTTTTTATGAAGATTTTTCCATTGGAGTTTGGAAGTCGAAACGTGCTTTTTTAGGAAAAACCGCAGGTCATTTCTCTTAGCCAAATAATCACACACGATTCCCGATGTGTCCCGGTAGATTAAGACAATTCCGATCAATGGTGCGGGATGAGATGGGTGCCAAACTTCTGTATGGAAGGATAATAATAATGAAACTAGAAAATTCCGCAGTAATTTTAAGAGTGTGGCCTAGCCTGCCCTGAAACGGCCAAGAATGTAAGTGAAGGCTGGCCACAAAGGTTAGCTAGAAACCTAAAAACATGACCCATTTTTCTCTGTTTTAGCTACGTGTCAGCAGATGGGTGCTGTTGCTAGTGCAATTCTAGCTACCGCCATGTTAGCGTCACGCCCACCAGTTGTCGGCCGTATCGTCGCCCCGCCCCCCCACCATAACATCCATGCCCCCCCCCCCCCCCCCCCCCCCGCCGTATTGTCTCCCCCCCCTCTATTTTCTCTGGCGGTTTTAGCCACATGTCAGCAGTTGGGTCCTGTTACTAGTTCAATGCTAGCTGGCGCCATGTTAGCATCATGCTAGTGCCCTTCCCCCCGGCCGTAGACACCGCCGTCAGCTGTATTGTCCCCCCCCTTAATTTTCTCTGCCTCTTTTAACCACTTGTTAGTAGTTAGATCCTGCTATTGCTAGTGCAATACTAGCTAAGGCCTAATGGTTTGGCATGCCAAACCATTTGGAAGTTACGAGGCTTGCCAGATTAAGCCCACAAGACTACATTTTATTCAACAATTGATTGCAGCGCCCCCTGTTCTTCAAATATTCTGAAGAAATTAGGGTGTGTTAAGGGGTTCAATGTTCACATGGGTTACAAGTTTGGTGAGGTTATGCCAAACCATTTGGAAGTTACGATTTTTGCCAGATTAAGCGAACAAGCCAACATTTTAATCGACAATTAATTGCAGCACCCCCTATTCTTCAAATATTCTGAAGAAATTAGGGTGTGTTAAGGGGTTCAATGTTCACATGTGTTACAAGTTTGGTGAGGGCATGCCAAACCATTTGGAAGTTACGAGGCTTGCCAGATTAAGTCCACAAGACTACATTTTATTCAACAATTGATTGCAGCGCCCCTATTCTTCAAATATTCTGAAGAAATTAGGGTGTGTTAAGGGGTTCAATGTTCACATGTGTTACAAATTTGGTGAGGTTATGCCAAACCATTTGGAAATTATGAGTCTTGCCAGATTAACACGCACAAGACTACATTTTAATCAACAGTTAATTGCAGCGCCCCATGTTCTTCAAATATCCTGAAGAAATTAGGGTCTTTTAAGGGGTTCAATGTTCACATGTGTTACAAGTTTGGTGAGGGCATACCAAACCATTTGGAAGTTACGAGTCTTGCCAGATTAAGCCCACAAGACTACATTTTATTCAACAATTAAATGCAGCGCCCCCTATTCTTCAAATATTCGGAAATAATTAGTGTGTGTTAAGGGGTTCAATGTTCACATGTGTTACAAGTTTGGTGAGGGCATGCCAAACCATTTGGAAGTTACAAGTCTTGCCAGATTAAGCGCACAAGACTACATTTTAATCAACAATTAATTGCAGCACCCCCTATTCTTCAAATATTCTGAAGAAATTGGGGTGTGTTAAGGGGTTCAATGTTCACATGTGTTACAAGTTTGGTGAGGGCATGCCAAACCATTTGGAAGTTACGAGTCTTGCCAGATTAAGCCCACAAGACTACATTTTATTCAACAATTGATTGCAGCGCCCCCTGTTCTTCAAATATTCTGAAGAAATTAGGGTCTTTTAAGGGGTTCAATGTTCACATGTGTTACAAGTTTGGTGAGGGCATGCCAAACCATTTGGAAGTTACGAGTCTTGCCAGATTAAGCGCACAAGACTACATTTTAATCAACAATTGATTAAAGCGCCCCTATTCTTCAAATATTCTGAAGAAATTAGGGTGTGTTAAGGGGTTCAATGTTCACATGTGTTACAAGTTTGGTGAGGGCATGCCAAACCATTTGGAAGTTACGAGTCTTGCGAGATTAAGCGCACAAGATTACATTTTATTCAACAATTAAATGCAGCGCCCCCTATTCTTCAAATATTCTGAAGAAATTAGGGTCTTTTAAGGGGTTCAATGTTCACATGTGTTACAAGTTTGGTGAGGGCATGCCAAACCATTTGGAAGTTACGAGTCTTGCGAGATTAAGCGCACAAGATTACATTTTAATCAACAATTGATTGCAGCGCCCCCTGTTCTTCAAATATTCTGAAGAAATTAGGGTGTGTTAAGGGGTTCAATGTTCACATGGGTTACAAGTTTGGTGAGGTTATGCCAAACCATTTGGAAGTTACGATTTTTGCCAGATTAAGCGAACAAGCCAACATTTTAATCGACAATTAATTGCAGCACCCCCTATTCTTCAAATATTCTGAAGAAATTAGGGTGTGTTAAGGGGTTCAATGTTCACATGTGTTACAAGTTTGGTGAGGGCATGCCAAACCATTTGGAAGTTACGAGGCTTGCCAGATTAAGTCCACAAGACTACATTTTATTCAACAATTGATTGCAGCGCCCCTATTCTTCAAATATTCTGAAGAAATTAGGGTGTGTTAAGGGGTTCAATGTTCACATGTGTTACAAATTTGGTGAGGTTATGCCAAACCATTTGGAAATTATGAGTCTTGCCAGATTAACACGCACAAGACTACATTTTAATCAACAGTTAATTGCAGCGCCCCATGTTCTTCAAATATCCTGAAGAAATTAGGGTCTTTTAAGGGGTTCAATGTTCACATGTGTTACAAGTTTGGTGAGGGCATACCAAACCATTTGGAAGTTACGAGTCTTGCCAGATTAAGCCCACAAGACTACATTTTATTCAACAATTAAATGCAGCGCCCCCTATTCTTCAAATATTCGGAAATAATTAGTGTGTGTTAAGGGGTTCAATGTTCACATGTGTTACAAGTTTGGTGAGGGCATGCCAAACCATTTGGAAGTTACAAGTCTTGCCAGATTAAGCGCACAAGACTACATTTTAATCAACAATTAATTGCAGCACCCCCTATTCTTCAAATATTCTGAAGAAATTGGGGTGTGTTAAGGGGTTCAATGTTCACATGTGTTACAAGTTTGGTGAGGGCATGCCAAACCATTTGGAAGTTACGAGTCTTGCCAGATTAAGCTCACAAGATTACATTTTAATCAACAATTGATTGCAGCGCCCCCTGTTCTTCAAATATTCTGAAGAAATTAGGGTGTGTTAAGGGGTTCAATGTTCACATGTGTTACAAGTTTGGTGAGGGCATGCCAAACCATTTGG